CAAAAAATTGCAAAGTGTGCGTTTAAAGTGTAAATACTGTATTTATACAATTGTGTTTGTACTAGGCAAAGTATGCTCTCTGAAAAGTCCACTGAAATACCTTATGTTTACATATTCACGAATCGTTTTTCTTTTTGAAATAATCATTTTATGCGAATTTAGCTACTAGAGTAATTATTAAGCAAATAGCCCAATTTGACTCTAGTGAATACCATTTAAAGGACCATACTCAACCAAAATACGAAAGAAGCACCATATTCAACCAAAATATGGCAAAGTGTGGTTTAAAGGGCAAATAGTGCTTTGTTGAGCAACTAATGCATTGAAACAGTTGTGTTTATACCAGGCAAAGTATTATTGAAGTACTATCTGCAAAGTCAAATGAAACACCTTATGTTTACATATTCATGAAACAACTTTTTTGAAGTATTCATTCTATGCGAATTTAACTACTAGAGGAATTCTTAAGCAAATAGCCCAATTTGACTCAAGTGAATACTATTTAAAGGACCATACTCAACCAAATACGAAATAAACACTTGCGGAAATGGAAACGGTTCTACCTACATAACAATGAGACAAAGATTGCTGAAGTATTCACTAAAGACCACTTATATACTATGTCTGAAAAGCACAATTTGCATGAGCAAGCTTAAAGATGCACAATAATGGAAATAGAAGCGGTTCTACTTACATAACGATGAAACAAAGATGTCTGAAGTATTCAATAAAGACCACATATATACTATGCTTGAAAAACGCAACTTGCACAATCAGGCTTAAAAAATGCACAAGAATCCTAGAAAAGTACTTAGTGAAGGCCATACACAAGCGAATTCACAAATACATAAAAACATCCAAAAGCGCAAGCTTTTCAGGAGAATCTCTGGTAAAGTTTGGATTATAGGGTTTGGGGGTATTCCTGGACGAGTAGGAGTCACTTTTTAAGCAAACAATTCTAAGCAATAAATGCTTTTTCTCAAGACAAGTATTGCAAATGCTGCTTCTAGATAATTAATCGCATTTACCAGGCAAATATTATCCATGCGAATTGTGCTACCAGAGCACCAAGTAATGGCTGAATAAGGCCTACTACACTTGAGTACAACCAAAAGATGCACTAAACACTAGCGGCTCTACTTACATAATAACGAAACAAATAGTTCTGAAGCACTAGAAAGACCACTTGTATACTATTTCTGAAAAGCACAATTAGCATAAGCACACTTAAAAATGCGTAGTTGTTGCCTCGTGGGCGAACCAAAAAGCCAAAATACCAAAACCAAAAAACCAAAAATACCAAAACCAAAAAAACCAAAAAAACCAAAACCAAAAAAACCAAAAATACCAAAAAAAAAACAATTTTCCGGGACTCTTGGAGAAGCCTCATAGGGATTTCCTGAGAGTCCCGGAAAATTGGTTTTTTTGGTTTTTTTGGTATTTTTGGTTTTTTTGGTTTTGGTTTTTTTGGTTTTTTTGGTTTTGGTTTTTTTGGTTTTTTTGGTTTTGGTTTTTTGGTTTTTTTGGTTTTGGTATTTTTGGTTTTTCTACTGTCCCGCGTATGCGATTTTAGTTGTATTTTAGTCTACGCCCTAGGAAATACGCTATATTGCACACCGAGTTTGCTTGCAGTGCAGCTGGGTGGCTTGAGACAAGGCGAAAAAGGGTAGGTCACTGGGGGGGGGGGGTACCATATATATATATATATATACATATGTTCTCTAAGGATAAACTACATATGGTACCTGATTCCCTCATTCCCTGCTAAGAAACAGCAAGTTGTTTGCGGGTTTCTGACCCTGGCGACTCCAAGCTTCAGAGTCCAGTGTGGGAGGAGATGGGGGGGGGGGGGGGGGTTCAGGGTTATTTAGGGTTGTTTCGGGTTGTTTAGGATTTGGGCTAGGGTTTCTATAGGGTTTAGGGTTAGGGTTGAGGGTTGTTTCGAGTTTGGGGTTTAGGGTTGTTTCGGGTTTGGGGTTTAGGTTTAGGGTTTAGGGTCTAGGGTCTAGGGTCTGGGGTTTAGGGTTGTTTCGGGTTTAGGGTTTAGGGTTCTTGCTTAGGGCAGAAGCTTGGGCCGGCGATCAGTTATGATTGGGACCGAGCTCGCTCGGCAAGACAATCCCTGAGCTCAGGCATGGGGGTTTTACGATACTAGGGGTACCTTCTTGGGTTCCCTTGTTAGAAGGGAATCCTACGATTGTTGGATCTATTTTAGGGGTCCCCTGCTTTCGTAAAACCCCGCATAGCGCAAACTATGGCAGCATTGGGAAGAGTTGATGGTTTGCTTCGGATTCCTTCTCATGGTTCCTCGCCGGTCCGAAACCCCAAGTACGTGCTGTAGGGAAAACTCGGGCCCCTAAACCAAGACCCTGAACCCCCAAACCCTAAACCCTAAGCCCTGAACCCTAAACCCTAAACCCTAAACCCTAAGCTGAAACCCCTGAACCCCTGACAGTACGTCTGAGAGAAAAGCTCGGCAGCCGTTGCCCGCATCCCAGCTGGGGAGATCATTGGCCAGACTCTTCTCCACCAGCTTCACCCCTGGGCGAACCAGTAAAAGCATTAAAAACAACAGGTAAACATGATTGCTTACATGCTGCTTTCAAACAGGCTTCTTCATAAAGGACCATCAACCCCAAACCGCAGCACCCCAAACCTGAACCTTGCGCCAATTGTTCAGCTTTCGGCGTCATGTGTGGTGGCGGTGGGGCTTTCAACGTGGTGCGTGGCCTTCAACTCTGCCGAGTGAGGATGATGGTCAACTCCGAAGGGAATCATGCAAAATCATGGTTGCTGTGTGCTAGTATGCGCGAAGGACATTTTGAGTGCCAGACGGTTCTGGTCGTTCATCATGCAGGCATTGGTGGGGCACTCCACGCGAATGCGAAAGCGGTACCTGAGCCCGGAAGGAAAGTACAATGTACGGTTCTCCTAGGGGTCAGCTTCTGCTGGATGTATAGTACCCAGGACCCCAAGCCCCACATGCTACTGCGACGAATGTCTACAAGTAGCTGGCAAGGGCATGCAAGATCCGGCTGTTGAAGGCTGATGGGTTGTTAGAAAGGATGGAGGGCATAAGTAAGGCGTCGTGAAATCTAAACCAGACTAACGTATTTGAAACCCCACCTGCCCTGAGGCCCTTTATTAGGTGCTGGTCGCACTCCCTGTAAGTACTGATCACTAGCCCTATACGCTCTATGACTTGTGAAGCATAAGCCCTACAAGTCCCACAAACCCTACGAATCCTACAGGCCCAATCCCTAAACCCTAAAACCGAATGAACCCCCGAAAAAACCTAAAACCCAAGCCCTACGCCAGGTGCCCGTACTGGCCCGTAACACCGGTGAAGTCCTCGGCACAGGTGCTGCTGCCAGCGTGGCACACCTGGCCGGTCAGGGTGGTCTTGGTTTACTCGGCCAAAGCCTCCAGAACTCCAGAACCCTAGGCCTTAAACCCTACTGTAACCCCGTCAAACCCGCAACCCTAGACCCTACATCCCCTAAACCCTAAACCCTAAACCCTGAACCCTAAACCCTGAACCTATGATCCACGTTAACCCGAAACCCGAACGCCTCAAGACCCCCTGTGATCTGGCGATTCCAGGCAGCTGCAAACTGAGTTGATGTCTTTGTCCAACGGCCCTAAACCCCTAAGACCCTCAACTACAGACCCCAGAGGCCCTTAATCCCTACATCCCGAAACCCTAGACCCTAAATCACTGATTCCTAAATTCAGCTAGGTCTTACAATCCTTCAGGCAGACCGTTAACTAGGGTTATAGTACAGCTTAGCTAAACCCGACAACCCAGACTCTCAAACCCCCCTAAACCCTAAACCCTAAACCCTAAACCCCAAACCCTAGAAACCCCGTCATGGCAACTAGCCGTCCAGCTTCTGGCCTTGCTCAGGTAGAAGTGGAGGATCCCGATCTGCGGATGTTTTCTTTCGGGGGGGGGGGGGGGTTGAAGGGAAGGGTTTTAGGGTAGGGTTTAGGGTCTAGGGTTTAGGGGGTTTTTAGGGGTTAGGGTTTTAGGGTTTTGAGGGTTTTGAGGTAGGGTTGAGGGTTGAGGGTTGAGGGTTGAGGGTTGAGGGTTGAGGGTTGAGGGTTGAGGGGTGAGGGTTGAGGGTTGAGGGTTGAGGGTTGAGGGTTGAGGGTTGAGGGTTGAGGGTTTAGGGTTTAGGGTTTAGGGTTTAGGGTTTAGGGTTTAGGGTTTAGGGTTTAGGGTTTAGGGTTTAGGGTTTAAGGCTTGGGGTTTGAGGCTTAGGGTTTAGGGGGGGAGGGTGCGACAAGTCAAGGCTTGGGGTACAGAGTTTGCACGGTGTAGGCAAAACGGGACCCGCAGGACCCCAGACTCCTATCTGAGGCTTAGGGGCTTGTGCCGATTTAGGGTCTAGGGTTCAGGGCTTCGCGCTCTAGAACCAATCACCAGAAACAAAACCCTTCTCTAGCATAATGATGATACTTGCCGAACAAGCAAAGTTATCCAGAATCGGATGGATGGATGGATGGATGGATGGATCTTACGACAAGCAGCCTGCAGCTGCCAAAGGGTTCCTTCCCCTCAGCAATCTCAAGGGCAAGCGTCATCCGCGGCCCTCCGGCAAGGCTCCAAGTCCCTGACTGGCCACCCCCGTGCAAGCATCACTGTGCCTGCGCAGACGCCGGAGAGCACAGGCAAAACGGCTGTGAAACCTCGAACTGGACGAAAGCACAGGGGCCAGCAGTGAGTCCAGGCAGTGAGGGGCACCACAACCGGTTGGGCGGCGAGGACAAGCCTGCTTGGCAACGACGCACCAACAGGCTGTGGAAGCAGCCCAAAAATCTTGAAACCCTTGGATATTGAGATGCCAAGGGACGGTTTTCGGTTTACGCTTAGGGTTCAGAGAAGCAGCGTAGTTGCAAGCATGGCAATGAGAAAGACGGTTTAGGGTTTAGGGTTTAGGGTTTCGGGTTTAGGGTTTAGGGTTTAGGGTTTCGGGTTTAGGGTTTGGGGTAGCAGCCTGCTGGATGAAATCCACCGTGTTGGTGCACCCGTTCCTGGCAGGAAGCATCTTGGCGCTTCGAACCCCACGACACACACTCGACGCCAGCTCCCTAAACCTCCTCCTACGCCCCAACCCTCAAGGGCCTACTCTTCATGTTCTTGCATTTGTTGCCTTTGCTTGTCCTACAACAGGTCCAGCCGATACCTCTGACGACGAATTGCAGGGTACAGGGCTCAGGGATTAGGGCTTGGGGCAACCACCCTGGGATGATTGCCAATAAGGGCGCAGGATGTAAGGTTTCGGGCTGCGGAATTCTCAGTATGGCACAAGATGGAGGTGTAAAGGTACACAGTCGAGGCAGGCCATTCTGTAAATTACTGGTTTGCAAATGCCCACCAGTTTATGTCATGAGCTCATGCATGTTCGATGGTCACCAAATCTGCCAGGTCAGCCGGTCGGGGCAGTAGCAAGCAGCCACGGTTCGCGCATCTGGGAAGGGCGTGGGAAATGCTGACTCAAACCCCAAACCCTAAACCCTAAGCCTTTAACCCTTCAACCAAAACCCGAAACCCAAAACCCAAAGCCCAGACCCACAGGCGTTCACACGAGCAAGTTGACCATTGCCACGTACAAGGACAGCTACGGGTGGATACGGGTGGGTAGCTGCCATTTATAGAAGCCTGACTCACAAGCGAATCGTATAAGGGAAACTACCACCCACTTCGAACTATCCTATCCTCAGCCGCCGGGATCGCGGAAGGCCTCTCTCTGGGCTCAGAGGACTCCAGACGAACGTGAAGCACTTCCCGCACGCAAAGCACTGCGTTTTTTGGGGTTGGGCGCCCCCCAGACTCCCCCCAAAACCACGTAACCCAAACCCTAAACCCTAAACCCTAATTAAACCCTAATTAAACCCTAAACCCTAAACCCTAAACCCCCATGAGCCCGGCTCGAGCATGCTGCGCTCCGCTGATAGCCGGGGCCGCGGCTGAACGTGGTCGCGCTACCGAAGGCCATCCCGAACAAGTCGTTTCCTGGACAGGGCATGAAGGTTTAGGGTTTAGGGTTTAGGGTTTAGGGTTTAGGGTTTAGGGTTTAGGGTTTAGGGTTTAGGGTTTAGGGTTTAGGGTTTAGGGTTTAGGGCTAGAAACTTATGGGTTTGGGGCTTTAGGGTTTCAGAGTTTTTTTGGAGGTCGGGTTCAGGGGTCTGGGGTGTGGAGGGTTTAGGGTGTGTAAGGTAGGCTCAAGAGCACGACGCGGTGATTTGCCATGTCCATCGGTGGTCAGGGAAGCACGTCAACCTTTCACTGCGCAGAGGCAGCTAAGAGCTCGGCGGGTCGTCGGAATGTTGATCCTCTTGGAGGACACCTTGGGTTTAGGGTTTAGGGTTTAGGGTTTCGGGTTTCGGGTTTAGGGTTTAGGGTTTATGGTTTAGGGTGTAGGGTTTCCGTTGAACAAGCTCCAGCTTCCGCAAAGATCGGATCCTAACCAAGCTCTTGTGATTTGTTGAACGATCCTGCGGGATCCAGGCTGCGCTCCACTTGCAGATGCGCCGCCCTGTGGCTGCTCTTTGCTTGCGTCTGGTCCTCATCCCCCACCCCCTCCTCAAGATTCCACCATGGCAACCACAGAATATGGTTTAGGGTTTAGGGTTTAGGGTTTGGGGTTTAGGGTTTAGGGTTTAGGGTTTTAGAATTTAGGGTTTAGGGTTTAGGATTCAGGGTTTAATTATGGCTCAAGGGGCCAGTCTAGAGGCTCTAGGGAGATCCCTGAGTCAAATCCCGAACAAAGCTTGAAAAAAGGCCTGAAGCGGCGAAAGAACCCGAACAAGCCCCGACGAGCGGCCGTGGCGTCGGGCTCAATGTAGGGGTCCCCAGCCTGCTCTTTGGAGATTTGGAGCTTCACGTCGGGGGGAGAGGAGGGGAGAGGAGGGGGACAGGGGGGGGCATTAGGGTTTAGGGCTTAGGGATTATAGGGTTTTAGGTTCAGATGGGTTTAGGGTAGCTAAATATCAACCGCCATGCTCAAAGCCGTGCGATAAACCCGAAAAAACAAACAAAACCCCCTAAACCCCCAAACCCCTAAACCCCTAAACCCCTAAACCCCTAAACCCCTAAACCCCCAAACCCCTAAACCCCTAAACCCCTAAACCCCTAAACCCTTAAACCCCTAAACCCCTAAACCGTACCACAGAGTCCAAGATCTGCCCCAGGACGGGCAAATGGGCCTCGCAAGCACCGCCGTCCTGGGCGGTCGTCACTCTTGTGCTGCTTTGCGGGTTGAGGGCTTGAGGTTTGGGGGTTTAGGGTTTAGGGTTCAGGGTTGAGGGTTGAGGTTTGGAGTTTGGGGTTTGGGGTTTGGGTTTGGGGGGGGGGGGGGGTTAGGGTTTAGGGTTCAGGGCTTCGTGTTTAGGCTTGGGGGGGGGGGCGGTTCTACAGCACGGGCCCTTGTGTAGTATACCCCTTGTATGGCTTAAAGTACCAGATTTCCATTTAGGGTCTATGGCTGAGGTCGATTGCCCACTGCCTCTTAGTAGGTTGGAAGGAAATGAAGCACCTTACTTCCCCCTTTTTTAACACCCTCTTTTGGAATTACACAAGGGCGCCTCATTCGCTCGTTCCCTACAAAGAGCCAGTAGGAATAGGACTAGGAGTTAGGCCTTGGGGTTTGCAGCCTTGAGGTTGAGCTCTTCGACAGTACCGCGAAGTTGGCTGTTGCAGCAGCGCAACGGGTGTAGGGTTTGGGGTTTAGGGTTAGGGTTTAGGGTTTGGGTTTAGGGTTTAGGGTTTAGGGGTGTAGGGTCGAGTAGACCCTAACACCCCAATCTGTGAACCCCTAGCAGGGAATAGGTTCCCGAGGCCCGGGACGCGGCAGATAAAGCTGGCCGGCTCCGTGAACGCGCAAGGCTGAGCCTGTGGTTTAGGGTTTTGGGCTAGGCTTTAGGGTTTAGAGCTTCGGGTTTAGGGTTTAGGGCTGAAGGCTTAGGGTTTAAGGTTTAGGGTTTAGGGTTTAGGGCTTAGGGGGGTTAGGATACCCTAAACCCTCAACCGGCAACAGAAGCCACCCTAACCCGCAACCCATCTAGCCGAGAGTACTTAAGAGGGTGGCGAAGAGGGTTGGGGGGAATGGGCCGGTACAGGGCCTGAAAATCTGAGCAAGGATGTAAAGAGAGCCTCTGTTTCGTTCTGCATGCCCTTTACATGTATGCATGATCAGCATGCCGAAGACTTAAGCATGGAGAAGTGCAACTAGCACTTAGAGCGAGTTCAAGCCTGACCTGCTCAACTCACTTTTGGGTACTTGGGGAACGACATCTCGGGAGTCGCAACACCTCCTTGGAGATCGAGAGGTGTTCAGGAATGCTCCATGCCACCGAAAAACCCTAAAACCTGAACTCACGTACCCTAAACTCCCTAGGCACCAACCCTAAACCCTCAAACCCAAACCCTAAACCCTAAACCCCAAACCCTAAACCCCAAACCCCAAACCCTAAACCCCAAACACTAAACCCGAAGAGAGTGGCAGGCATGGCCTGCATGGACGTGAGCGCCCCGGTCTGTGCGTCGAAGCTCACCCCGAACTCGGCAGTCCATGTGCCTGCAGGCTGCCAGATTCTTCTGAGGTTTCGGGTCTAGGGGCCTGGGGGGTCTAGGGGGCCTAGGGGGGTTTAGGGTTTAGGGTTTAGGATTTAGGGTTTAGGGTTTAGGGTTTAGGGCTTCGGGTATAACATAGGGGCTGGAAGAATTATAAGGCCCCTATATCAGGGCTTCGACTTAGAAATCAACAGAGCTCTTGCGGTTCAGGCGTTAGGGTTAGGGGGGGGGGGAGGGCGGGGAGGTTGTCAGCAAAGCAAAGGGAACAAGGGCACCGATCTTTAGGGCGAAGGGCCTCGGGTCTATTTACCCTAAACCCTGAACCGAAACCCCCGACGCCGAAACGCGAAGCTGCTCGAAGGCAAGCAGGAGCGCTGCGCAGATCAACCCCACAACACAACCGCCCTGCACTCCAAAAAACTCCTACAGTCCTAGAACCTAAACCCTAAAACCCTTAGAAGCTTCAAACCCTCTGCTTAAGCCTTAAGCCTCTCCCTGCCCAGAACCCGCCTCGGCCGACAGGCCCGTAGAAGCCGGCGCCCGGGTAGGAGTAGTCGACGATGCAGGAACTCTGCAGTCCGTACCTGCACCCCGTGTTTAGGGTTTGGGGTTTGGGGTTTGGGGTTTAGGGTTTAGGGTTTAGGGTTTGGGGTTTGGGGTTTAGGGTTTAGGGTTTAGGGTTTAGGGCTTAGGGTTTAGGGCTTCGGGTTTAGGGCTTAGGGTAAGGTTCCTAAACCCTGCACCACTTCCTTCAAGGGTTGCAGGATTGGGTCTTCGGGATTAACTTGAGGTTTATGGTTTGAGAATGTGAGGTATAGGGCTGGAGGGCTTTGGGGTTTAGGGTTCATACCGCCCCTCCCGTCAAAGAAGGCGTCCCGCCTTCCGTCTGCTGTGTTGAATTCTTCCCTTCGCATGTAGCATTGATAAACACCTCGACAAAAGGCAAGGCAGAGCGCGAAACTGGCTTGATCGATATCCAGCGTGTTTATGTAGTTTACGTGCACGCTTTTAAGAAGCGGCCGCTGCTGTGCTTCGTGCTTGCGTCCAAGCTGGCTGGGGCCGCTGCGATTTGTCAAACAGTCGTCTGTCATGCAACCTTTGCGCAGGGTGGCAGGCGGCTGAAAGTGAAACTCGCGCATCTTTCCTGCGGCAAACAAAAACTGAAGCACCTTGGCAGGAAGCTAGTAAAAGGAGGTTGAATAATCAGCATAGGGTTTGGGGGGGACGGTTATAGTGGTATAAATGTATAAAGGACCCTGAGGGAATACTGCTAGTAATTATTACCCTTTATTGCTGCTCGCTAAGGCAAGGACTCTCCGAGCGATCGAACACGCCGTTCACTTCTATTCGCTGCCGCCTCAGCGGGTTTAGGGTTTAGGGTTTAGAGTTTAGGGTTTAGGGTTTAGGGTTTAGGGTTGGGGCCCAACGGTTGGGGTCCCTTTGTTGGGTACCCAGTATAAGGCGGCACCCTGAAAAAAGAAACCGAAGAAGGGACCCTAAGTTAGAGAACTACCCATGTGATAGTGGGAAGCGAGAGAAGTCGCGTTGAGACAGGTCGTGAGATCTAGGGTTTAGCAGCATTGACGTATGTTCCTGTTTCAACTTGGTAGGGAACAGATAGTTCAGTGCTTTGCTCTTGCCTGTCCATATCAGAGCAGTCTCTGCATATGCGCCCCAAAACTCTCAAGCATAACCTCAACCCCCAAAAAGCCACAACCCTACAACCGCAACAACCCTGGAAGTTTAAACCCTCACACGCCTCAAAAACCTTGACCATTGAAGCCCTCCCAAAGCCCTCAAGCCTCAACCCTCCACCCCTACACGTGAACCCTAAACTTTTAACCCCTAAACCCTAAAACCCCTAAACACCCCTAAACCCCCCTAAACCCCCCTAAACCCCCCTAAACCCCCCTAAACCCCCCTAAACCCCCCTAAACCCCCCTAAACCCCCCTAAACCCCCCTAAACCCGCCTAAACCCGCCTAAACCCGCCTAAACCCGCCTAAACCCGCCTAAACCCGCCTAAACCCGCCTAAACCC